TGCTACAGTGTTCCCACCAGATGGTCCCAAAGTTTTCTGAAGTTTTTTCCTGTTCTTTTCCTGTTTCTGTGAAAAATGATTTTGCTGGGTCTGCCTGGAAGCTTTTGCTCATGTTGTTCCAGCTGCAATACCAGTGGCTTCCAGGATTACATGTGTTTAAACTCCAGATAAAAGATACTTCATCATGACACCCTCGGTCATAGTTGGCTAAAAGCTTAGAAAAGGAGAAACTTCTGTACATTTGAAGAAGACTTTGGAGGTTAAAAAAGACACTGAAACTATCCAGATGCTGAAGAAGATGAAATTCTTGCTCATTCCTTGAGCTCACAGTTTTTTATTTCATTATTTTCCCTTTGTCTTCACATGGCTGCAAAAAAACCCTTTACCACTAAAAAAAGCATCTAACTGTTTCCATCAGTAATCAGCATGTTTTTAAGTGTATGTAGTTAATGCTTAATAATTATCATCATTTTTGCCCCCTCCCACTCCCCACCTCTGTGCTCATCTCTGCACCCAGCCTTCCCTTCATGTCCAACAATAGAAAATGCACCAGTTAATTAAAGAATGGAGGGTCCATCTACTGAAGAGGTTTGTGACCCATACACCACAAGAGTGTAATTAAATCAAGTACCCGCTGGTAGGAGGAGAGACAGAGAGAATAAATATGAATACATTCCTTAAAAATCTGTGTGCATGTATTTTTCCTTTGATGCCAGAAGTGATGTCATTATGAGTCACAGGCCTGTGTGGAACACCTTGTTTGGGTATTTTATTTTTTAAAAAGGCAGAATAATCACTGAAGATTAACACAACATGTTGTAAGTGATTCTTAGTGAACTTGGCATCAGGACAAATCTGTGTTCAGTACCAAAACTGCTATTGGATGCTGCTTTTTGCAATACAGTATTTATGCTGTTATAATCGCTTTAGAGTTCCATAAAGAGCTGGCATTTAAAGTCCAGGATCAACTCAAGTTTACGGCATCAGAGATCCACAAAAATACAATCATAACCAAAGCAGAATCCAAAACCATGAAGACATTATGTAGCCATCCCCTTCCTGTGAACTTAATACCATGGGGAAGAATATCTACTGTCTGTCTACTGCAATGAGATTACAGCTCATCCAATATGCAGAAGCAGGTATGCTAGGTATGAATTTCAAACAGTCTGCAAAGAATCTCTTATTATGAAATGGTTCATAGAGCCAGACTCATAAATGCATGTGTTTAAGCTCAGAATGGCAGAGAGAGTGACAACAGCATCAACCACAGAGCTGTTTGTTGGAAATTAGATGAAGAATAATATGTCAATCTGACTCCTAACTATGCCTGACTGATGTTGTCGACTTCTAAGCTGCAGGTTTTTCTATGAGAAATGTTTGATTGACTAATCCAAAAATACATAAACATGACGATGGGAGTAATGCAAAATTAATGTTACGTTTACATCACTAAAGCCCAACACATAATATAACCCCTTAACCAAAGTTTGCACTCATCCATTCAGCCAAAGCAGGCAAGAACCCCTCGGGGTTCATTTCAGCCTGGTTATATTTTACCACAGCATAAATCACCATAATGAGCATGCAGAATGGGAACCAGAAGAAATGGAAAATTTGCACATGGCTTAGGCAGATGGCAGATACAAAGTAGCAGCTAGTTAGCAGAGAGCAAATGCCTTCACTCAGACTGACACGCACAGAGCAGCACAGGCACGAACATGCAAGCAACTGAAAGAGTTCAAACTTCAAACCAACAGGCAAACTTTAGTTGGTGAAGCGATTCAGCCGTCGTCCTCGGTGTCTCGGGGCGGAGCGGTCCTTTAGGTTGGGCCTAGTGTTGCAGCATGGGCAGAAAAATTCCCCGATTTCTAACTTTGTGTGTGACTGATGCACAACAGGCAATCTGAGCTTGTAAATACAACACTTAATTACACAAACCCACTTCCACAGTTTGGTCTAAAGTTAGTTGTAGCATTTGCAGTTTTCACATTAAGAGGTGGGTGAGCAGTCGTTTCTCGTTTTACCTCATCATTTTCATAGATTTTGTTTTTTATTGTTGCTTGAATCACTTGACGCTGACCTATGAATCACTCAAGCATGACACATGACACACCTAACTCAAGGGATCACCTAACTCAACGATCATTCATCGTTGTGTCCACACATAACAGAAAACTCAACAAAGAACCACTTAATTTACCACTGTTAGATTTTTCCTATTTCTTTGACTGAATCTACGGTGAAAGCCAAGGGTAGCAGAAAAATACATAAAATAGCATTTTTGCACTAACAAGGTGATTCACAACGTGCTGTTGGCCTATGACTTTTATATCCTGGCATGATGTGCAGAAAACAAATATTGACACAGGACCTCAGAGATGCATCTGACCATTCAGTTGATCCATCTACTGAAGCCTCATCAGAAATGGTCTCAGGTGAAGTGTGGCTGTCAAGAAGGCTGCTAGAGCTCCTAAAATATGTTTTGAAGTCAAACGGGGCATTTTGAGTTGCCCTAATGTTTTTTACTTAACACTTCCTGACCTTGGCCTCACCCTCACTGTTTCCGTTGACTGCCATTTTTAATTACATCACAAACACTTATATAGTCTTCTTCTGCTTTGTGGAAATCAGTTATTCTAGTTTGTGTTGCACAGCTGCTAAATGTTGACATGGTCTGAAAAGTCAGTGTTAGCTTAAAGATTTGCAGTCCCTGTTTGTCTTCCTATCTTTGAGAAGAAAAGCCATAAAAACTTTCTTTCTTTTTTCTGTCTTTTCATTCACATTCATTTTTTTTTCACCCCAATAACAGAGAGAACCTGTCTGATGAGGCTTACAGGCTGACTTTTGTAATGAAATCCTGTGAGAGGGTAGTGGATTAGTGAGCTTCCAGTTGTCTCTTCACATCTGCCCACTTGATACGTCAAAATCTATAAATTTTTATTTAAAACACAAAGTGAGTGCGGTGTTTGTCTTTGACAGAGGGCAGAGGGGCACGAGTATCAGCCTACAGGTGCGTGCCTGATCAAAAAGTTCATGGCAGTGTTATGAGACAGACAATCACCCCTGGGACAGACTCAGACTGTCCACTGGCAGCCTCCCACATCTGACACAGTGTCGGACTTTGGTGTAATTTGATTGAAAGGGAGCTAGCACACAATCCTATCTCAACTTTCTGACACATTTTTGATTTCTTTTTTCCAGGTTTGAATTGAAAGATACGTTTTCCTCATTTCAGAGGTGGGACTGCGCTGCTGGGTAAAAAAAAAAAAGAGTTCATTTAAATATCCTCCCGGTGCCAGGTCACAGTTCACATAAAATAAAATAAAAAGTCTGAATAGGAAAATAAATGGAAAAAGAACAGTCTGACACAGTTACTGAACGAGAAATGAAGACCAGCGCAACAGAGAATGACTCTAAAATCCATTGTTCATATACAGCAAGTGAATGATTGGTGTACACTATTGTGAAAATATTAGTTTAGTTTAGTTTGTGCAGGTCCACTGGCTTTACTGACATTAAGCAACATTTCATAACAAAAGGGAGCTGCAATAAAGAACTTTATATGTTTAAAGGTCCAGGATACTCCCCAGGGGAGTTAGATTTTCACGGAGCCAGAGAGTGAAAATATGTTTCAAAAGTACTTTAATACCTTTCTGTAAACTCAGCGGTACCTGAACTACTGAAGAATTTAACAGGATTCACAAAAACGCTGCAAGCAAACAGCCATTTATATGCATCCAACAGGTGTAATGTACCTGAGTCCTGTATGTTTCAGCTCCAGCAAACAACAATGTTGTAAAATTAATCCTTTGACTCAGACAATTTGATGATAGCTAAAATAGATCATTAGGTTTTAATGAACTTTTAAAAGCACAGTTTGCACTTCAGGGTGTTATTATTCCAGCGTTTGAATCTGTAAAATATATATGAAAGGGATCCTCATGCTGTTACTTTCATTCTGGCCTTCAGAGACACTGAATTTTTATGTTATTTTACTTTATTTATTTTTAATCAAACATTAAAGAGCAGTATTTTATTTCAAAACTTCTCTCTTGTGACCCGCTCAGCTTCTCTTCGGGCTTTTCAAACAGACGTCAGACTCATTTCCTACACCTCAGCACCACAGCCACATGTGTTGTATAAACCCTACATATTCACACTCACAGTCAGTGCATCACTGTTTCGTGTATAAGTGCTGTACCCACAAGCTGTGATTAGGATTTTTTTTTTAAATTAAGTACTTCATAGATTGACAAAATGATCCCACTTCTATTTAATTAAATAATTTAAAGATGCCAAAAAGACACTGGGGATGTTTTTATTGTTTAAAGAAAAGCTGTTGTACACAGAGCTCATACACATTCATCGCTGATGAAGGTACACACTCAGACAGGAGATAATATAAGCAAGTACCGTATGTGTTTCTGATCTTTAACACTCACGTCTGTTTGATTACATGACACATCCACGAGATTACAGTGGATCCATGTGCATGACACCAAAAGGCTTCGTTAGAAGTCTCAGAGTTTCATTCTTCTCCACTTCAGACTCAGTCCCAGGATGATTTTCAGCCCTTCAGACATGAACAGTGTCCCTGCTTTTGATCAGCTAAAGCTGTTAGAGCCTTGCTGCAGCTGGAAAGGCACTGACCTGCAAGTTTGTTATCATCTACAGCAAACCAGTTAAAGATCCCCAAAGCGTCTCTTTACTGGATTCAAAATACTAACCCCTCTTTTTCAGTCACAGGTGTATTTAAAGCTGCCACCTTTGTCCCAATCCTCTCACTCGTAGATTGGCGTGGGTACATGTGGAAGTGTGTGTGTGTGCGTTCATTGTGCTTTCTAAGTTTACATGCATGTTTGCGTCTTCACTGGCGTCAGCGCTGTCACTTTCTGCGCCAGCACCAGGCTCCTCCTACAGGCAGAGGCTCCTCCCCCTCCCTCTCTGTCAGTATAAAGTATGGTCTTCCCTCTCAATCTCATACTCAGTCACAGCCTCATCAGTGGAGCAAAGCTCACTATCTTCAAATCAGCCTCTCCTGGTTTACTTCAACAGCTGCAGGTAAGGTTTAAAATATTCTCTGCAGTTTGTTTTCATTTTAAAACCATTTTATTTCTCTGTTTTCCTGTCACAGGGGGATGGTTACACACATTCACTAATGCTTTGAGAAGGTGTCCTGTCCCCTTATTTTCAGTTATTTATACACTGAAAATGAGAATACTGTAGACAAGTAAAGACTGGACTGGTATTTATATAGATAGTTATCCATCTATATGTAGTTGTCTTCTTTTGCCTTTTTAGAGCACAAATGAAATGTTTATTACAGTGGATCTTTTTTTCTGTTTATTTAAGTGAGTGGTGGGTTTTAATGAAAGAAAATTATATTCATACACGAGCCAAACAGAATTATTAAAAGATTATACAATATTTATGATTAAAAGTCTTTAAAAAGTAATATATGAGTAAAAATAGATCCATGCTGACAGCTGAGCTGAAAGAGAATTAAGTAGCTGCCAGATATCCTTCACTGTCTGAGTGTCCAAATGACCACATAAGAAATTTAATTTTGCCCCTAACTTTTATCTGGAGGAAAACTCTGTGTTTGTGTTTAAATGCTCACAGAAGCTGCTGGTTCTGTGGACATCATTTGACCTTTGTTGTGGATAAAATTATCATTCCAAGAGTTGGAATTAAAAGAAAGTAGGAAAGAAATTCCTAATCACTTTTCATAGGAGCTATTTTTTATTTTATTTTTTTTTTATCTCTGTGTATTAATTAAGTAGTGATGGGTAAAAGTGTTATTTTCTCATTTTGTTTTCTGAGGAGAGGAGAGCTGTCACATACATTACATTACCACATCATTACCAGCCTATTACATAATGAATGAGAGACAATGACCAGCTGCTAAAAGGAATTATATTAGCATGAGCAGAATGGCTATTTACACCACCGCTGTGTCAGTTTAAACAAATTATTCAAACCAAACGTTTTACTGGACTTATGGTGATAAAATCACACAAGAAGAAATTCTCCATTTCAGTTGGTTTAAAACTGCAGAAGGGGGCGATTTCACCTGCACGTCTGTAATGAATTGACCAGTGAACAATGACTAGAAGACGTTCTGGACTGTTAACGGTACAAAAGGATCTAGACTAAGAACAAAGACTCAGTGCATAAAATACATGAAAAATCTAAATGACTTATTTATTTATTTGTTCTGCAAAGGTAGAAACCATGGCAAAGTTATGCTCTCCTGCATATCTATGTTCCGGTGTTCATGGGCTGTAAAAAGATCATTCTTGACTTAGTAAATATATTAACACAGAGAGACGCAGCAGAGCGCTGTAACACTGTGACAGACTGAGGCAGTGGGGTTTTTGATTTATCTGAGATTGAAAGCCTCCAAGCAGCTTTTGCTGTTGGTTTTATCTAATTATTTACTTTAACTCATTTTCCTTTGGAAATAAATTTCGGGAGTAAAACATCATTCATCAAAGATAATATGCTGCTTCGGCAGGCTTCAAGATCGAAATAAAATAAATAAATAATCAAAATGATCTTCTACACAAATTAATAAGAAACATCTATAAATGTATTTATTATTATGTTTGATAATATTATATGTATTTATATGAGGGGTTAAAAAGGTTTGAGTAAGCGTGAGTAAACTTCATGTGTTGATTCTGTGTGACACCGACTGTCCTGTGAGCCCCGTTCAAAAAACAGCACACAGATCAACATTCGACTATAGAGACCGCAACTCCAAACAGCACAAACATATACATGTATGTGTCTGTGTGTAAACATGAAGCTGTTCTGTCACAGGCAGGAGAGTATTTATGAAACATAAAATAATGTTTGCTGTACTTCGAGGCAGAACCATTAAAGAGTCATCTCTTTCTCACCCGATGTGTCTAAATGACCATAAATTGATTTATTGCTGCTTTTTGCAAAGCCAATATTGCCTGCATTGGTTTGTTTTCCCTTAGCAAGCTGAGGTGAGACAGAAAGAGAGAAGAGGGCAGATGAGAGGCAGTAAAGAGCAAATAAAGACTAACTGGAAATGTGCTATTGAGTTTGTTTAACTGTTATTCTCTCCCTGTCTCTCCATCCAGCCATGAATGTAGGCATCTGTGTTTGTGTTATCCTGGCTGCTTTGTCCAGTGGTTCCCTGAGTCTGCCTTCACAATCAATTGTAAGACACCCACACACCCACACACACACACACACACACATTATGCAGAGCTAAACAGCGCGTACATTGCCAATTAAGGGAAGTGGAGTAGGACCCTGATTACAAACTTTAATGTCTAAATTGCTTCCACGTGGTACAATTGTATTCAATTTTCCACTGGAGGATAAATATTTATTTTCATTTGAATTTTTGTTTTTATTACTTTTTAAATGTGTTATTTCATAAATGTGTCATTTTCTCCACAGACAGCTGAAAGTACGGCTCTTCTCTCAGGCAGCGGATCTCTCCCTTCTCCCAGCCTGAAACGGCAGGCTCGCTCCGCTCCAGCGCCCCTCTCAGGGCATCTTATCAACTACAGCCAGCACCAAGAGGACACAGACACTCCAGACAGCCTGAACCAGCTTCTGGCCAGACTCATCTCTAGGAAAGGTGTGATCAGACGTATGACTGCCGATACAGAATAAGAGAACAAAGAATGGGAAGAGAAAATGAAATGACCGCCTTTTCCTTTTCCCTTTACTTGTCATCTCATTACATGCTCATATTTCCCTCTTCCTCACATCCATCCTTCTGCAGCCTGCGTTCATTCATGCTGTGTTTCAGTCCCACCATCTGGCATTTCCCACCTCCCTCTGGCCTCCTCTCTTCATCTTTCCACGCTTGCTACTCCCCTAACATTTCTGCCTGCGCCCTCTATCATAGTCGTCTGCCTACCTCCTGACCTCACTCTCTGCTCCCTCTGTCACCGCGCATCGTTTTTTTTTCTTTCAAGTAAACGCTGTGTGACTACGAGACCTGCTGAGCTCATGGACAGAAATAGAAACACAGCGAGTCAGCATGAGTTAGATCAACAGTGCCATTTGGAAGATATACCGTATATTATTATCATACAGTATGGGTAGTTTAAAAAAAAAAAGAATAACAACATAAGTTTTATGAAATGCAGTGAATGTTTTCTTTTGTTTAGTTTGTTTCATCCATGTCTCTTCTAGGCTCTGCCTACCACACCAGATCCTCCCTCAGCAGCAGAGCCAGTGGTCTCCCCCCCAACCACAGGATAAAGGACAGAGATTATCTCGGCTGGATGGACTTTGGACGGCGTAGTGCAGAGGAGTACGAATACTAGTCCTGAAGGCACGGCTTTGTTTCTTCGAACGCTGAGCCCAAAACCTCCAACATCACCAGTTAAAGTTTTTATTTTTAGAAATCTGGAGCCCTTTTCACACTGCACTCTCAGCCCACCAGAGCTGACTTAGTGAGAAGTATATCTCAGCACATATCCTTCAATCTACGAACCACAAACTTCAATCCAAAACTTACGGCACATTATTGTATATTTGTGTTGCTGTTAAGACCAAAGGTAGCAATGCTTGTCCATCCCGCAGTGCTTTCTTAGTCCCTCATTCTCTCTGTGGTTTGGATGGTAATCACTAAAAATGAGGCACAAAAATTTTTTTTCATGGAAAAAAGGTGTTTTGATTTCTTAAAATATGGGGTGTTATGGCCCGTCTAGGCACGGCCAGACCACAACATAAAGGGTGATCCATCCCCGTCCAACCCCAAGCAGCACGTCACACACTTAATATTTTGTGACAGTGATTTATTTACAATAAGTGCGTTAAACCAAGGAAGGGAGTATGGGGTCATTGTAATTTTCTAACCAGCAGAGTTTTTAATTTGTTTGGCAGTACTTTCAGAGTTGGATAAATCTAAATTAATTTAAAAAACAAACAATCTTAAAACTGTGATAAAGTTACATGAGTAGCTCACGATCTGCTAATACTATTAGGCACTGGTTACACAGCAGATGCTTGTTAGCATAAATTCATTGTTAGTTAAGTTGTTTTTGACAAATGCAATGTTAGCTTTTTGGCGTTAACAGATCAGTGAAGAAACAGTAGGTCTGGTATAACAATGGGAAATGCCACATTTCTGTTTCAGTGGATATACAGAGCTTAACTAAGAAATCACAAATATTTTAGCAATGAGTCAAAACTTGTTTAAAACTAAAAAAGATCATTTATCATTTAGTATGCAATAAATAAAGGGAAATCATGTTTATATGACTAAATTTAAGCCAGTCCTCTGAGAACTGCACTAAAAACATCATTTCGATTAATATGCTGCTGGATTAACCTATTATAGAAACATTAAAAATGATTTTGGCAATTATCAGTATTGTTAATTTAGGGCTTCTGTGACATTAAACTTACACTGGGTGGAGATCTAATTAATTTGTTTAGCACTGTAAATTCAACAACTTCAACTGTTAAAAGGCAAAAAAATTACAAAAAGCTGTTAAACATAACACCCTTTAAATATATTTCCAGTGAGAAAAATCAGTGTCTTAGGATTTAGACATTTGTATTTTAAAGTACTGTTAAAATGTTTAATTTTACTGAGCGTTACTGTATGAATGTATCTGTAGACTTTTAATGTGCCCTTAAGGTGTCCTCTGCAATCTAATCTTCATAAAATTACACAATAAAAAAACAAAAACGACACAACAATAAAAAGCATGTTATTTCATATCACACCATGCTCAACACTGAATGTGACACATCATTCAAAAGTCTTTGATCGTGCTAGAAACTGGGAGAATTGGGTAAAAAGTGGATAACATGGCAGGCTGCTGCAGTGTGCAGTGTGAAAAGGGCAAAACAGGTTTTGACAAGCACAAAGTGTTGTCTGTTTTATACCTGGGAGTCTCCCTGACTTTGCATAATGGACTTCAGTGGCAGACACAATAGCATCAGGATGCTGCAGATATTAAATCTACAGATTAGAAATGTTTTCTTTAATTTTCTTTTCTTTTTTTTAAAGGCCTTTATCGTATATAAAGGTTAACTCTCTGTATTAAATCATTTGTTTCTACAGAGTCAGTGAAACTTCAAATAAAGCTTTGTTTTCCTCCAATGTCAGCAAGAAATTCAAACGCTTTCTTTTCAGTCTCATGATCTTATGGTTTCAGGGCACAGGTGGTGGGGCAGTTCTCTATATAGTGTTAGATTTGATCACTGCAGAAGAGAAAGAATGGATGTCTCTTTTTTTT